AGGAGCCAGCTCGGTGTGACTGAACCTCAATAAAGGGCTGAGGTGGTTGTTCATCCTCCTCGGTCTTGTTTTGCCCCAGGGGTCTCTGGGGCAAATTTGCCTCCCCTCACCTGGCTGGGAGGTGACCACACTGTCCCCACTCCCAGTGCAGGGCCTGCACCATCACGCTACCACAGCCATCCTTCCTTGGCTGGGCTGGGCAAGGAGGGAAGAGATGGCACTGTGGCGGGAGCACTCCTGGCAGAGCCCTGCCATGCTGCAGGGGCCACTTTTATTAGAGGGAAGCGATAAATTACCAGGTGGGAGCAGGGAAGACGAGGTGAGGGGCCCTAAACATCCAGGGCAGCTATCACAGCTTGGGTGAAATCCAGGGACGTGGCGTAGCCCCCCATGTCCGCCGTACGCACCTGCAAGGAGAGGGGAGCATTAGGGAGGAGGGAGGGGGTCCCTGCAGCATGGCAGGGACTCCCTGGTCCTAGGCTGGGTGCTGTGGCTGCAGGACCAGGGCACCCTGTAGCCCTTTGCAGCCCCTGCTGGGCCTGTCCCTAAGGCCCTGTGGAGGAGGAGACTTGCTGGAGGGAGGAAGCCCCCTGCCCCAGGCCGAGCTTCTGTGCGCCCCATCTGTCAGGCTGCCCACAAGTGCTGGCTCCAGCTCCCTTGGCTCAGTGGAGTGTCACAGCATAGCCCCACAGCAGGAGGGGGCTGCGAGCTGCAGGCCCCACTGCCAATGCCAGGGGCAGGAACTGAAGCAGCAGAGGATTCCCCAGGCTCACCTTCCCCACCAGGCTGGTGGGGCAGGAGGAATGCTGAGCCCTGTGCTCTCTGCCAGCCCAGCTTCTGGCCCCAGCCAAAGAGCTCCTGGCAGCTGCCCTACAGCCTGCCGCAGCTGGAGCTGCACTGGTGCAGTGCAGGGGCACAGCCAAGCGGGGAACAGCACCTGGGCCGGGCAGGGCTGGAGGGAAGTGCTGGACCCTTTATTTGCAAACACAAAGCACAGCAGTAACAATGCGTCCCAGTCGCTCTCTCACGCACACAGCTCTGGCCGAGCCACAGAGCCTCCATGGTCCCAAGGGCTTCTGCAGCCCAGCCCCACACGAGCCACGGGGG